GGACGTGGAAGCCAAGGAGCGCAACATTTATAAGGAAGCCGGACACTATTCAGTGAGCACATGGAATTTGGAGGAGAACCCGCCTTGCAATGCCGAAGACAATATGCACGCCGGACTCATCGTCATTGAAGCCTGGTTCAGGGGCTACTGAGGGAGTCTTGGACTAGGGGGTGTCCGGATAGCAGAACTATCATCATTGGCCGGACTCCAAGACTATGAAGATACAAGATTGAAGACTTCGTCCCGTGTCCGGATGGGACTTTCCTTGGCATGGAAGGCAAGCTTGGCGATACGGATATGTAGATCTCCTACCATTGTAACCGACTCTGTGTAACCCTAGCCCTCTCCGGTGTCTATATAAACCGGAGGGTTTTAGTCCATAGGACGAACAACAATCATACCATAGGCTAGTTTCTAGGGTTTAGCCTCCTTGATCTCGTGGTAGATCCACTCTTGTACTACCCATATCATCAATATCAATCAAGCAGGAGTAGGGTTTTACCTCCATCGAGAGGGTCCGAACCTAGGTAAAAACATCGTGTCCCTTGTCTCCTGTTACTATCCGCCTAGACGCACAGTTCGGGACCCCCTACCCGAGATCCGCCGGTTTTGACACCGACACCCCCCTTTCCTTCCTCCCTTCCCTATTCCCTTTTCCCCTCCGGTGAAATAAGGAAAGAGGGGCAATTGGGATAGGAACCCCAAGTAGGATTCCCAAGGGGCGCCCCATGGCAGCTCCCCTCCCCCTCCCACCTAGATATACATGGGGAGGGGGCACCTAGAACACGCAACAACAATCGTTAGCCGTGTGCGGCGCCCCCCTTCGCAGTTTACGCCTCCGGTCATATCTTCATAGTGCTTATGCGAAGTCCTGCGCGGATCACATCACCATCACTGTCACCATGCCGTCGTGCTGACGGAACTCATCTACTTCCTCGGCACCTTGCTAGATCAAGAGGGCGAGGGACGTCATCGCGCTGAAGTGTGCAGAATTCGGAGGTGCCGTACGTTCGGTACTTGATCGGTCGGAGCTAGAAGAAGTTCGACTACATCAACCACGTTGTCAAACGCTTGCGCTTTCGGTCTACGAGGGTACGTGGACACACTCTTCCCCGGTCGTTGCTATGCATCTCCTAGATAGATCTTGCGTAAGCGTAGGATTTTTTTGAAATTGCATGATACGTTTCCCAACAGAAAATAGGTGCGAACAGACATAAAATAGACCAAAAGATGAAAATAGGTGTCCATCTACTTTTATCCTTACAGACCAACGGACAATTTGAGTTTGTGAACGCGCGACCCCATCATGTCCGGCTGCGTCCGTTTGGAGGTATACGGACAAAACATGCCTCCCAATGCGCGGCCGCAAACGGACCATCATCCGGTTTCTGTTCGCTTTTGACCCATTCCCGGCCCAAGTTTGGGCCGAGTTTGTGGCCGAATGGACAATCACGGACGCGAGAGGTGTGTGCCCTTGTCCTGCCCTAGCCCGCCTGTCGGTGAGACAGACCCCCCTTTTCTCTTCCTCTACCTCCCTCCGCGCCCCCGCCATCGTTGCCGCCACCACCATCCCCCTGGCCGTGCCGTCTTTCACCAGGGACGTCCCAACCACCATCGCACTGTGCCATAGCTGTCTCTGTGCCGGCTTGCCAGAAAGCATTTGGTCGACGTTCTCTATGTTGCTGATGGGAGACAAACTACGGCCGTCGTCGTCGTCGCCCGTCGTCACCAACCTCTTCAGGCCGGCCGTTCGGTCATGCAAGGCGCCATCCACCATCATCGTCGCCCATCGTCTCCAGGCCAACCTGCGAGGGGAGCAGAGCATGCACTATCCGTCCACTTTCCGACCATGACCGCAAGGCGTTTGACGGATTTCTGAGAAGGTACAATGGACAGTGGTGATGAGTTTTTCTTTCACAATTTCATTTGCTCATCTGATGATTCATCCTCGGATGAGGAAGAGCTGGCGGCTGCGTTGGTCGTGCATGAACACATCACTAGGAAGCGGCCTCGGTATAGGGGATCAATCCCCGGCCATGCTCTGGCCTTGGACCGCAATAGAGAGAAAGGCAACACCTTCTCTATGTCGGTTACTTTAAGGATGGTCCACTCTTTAAGCCACGTCAATTTCGTCGCCGATTTCGAATGAGAAGGAACATGTTCAATCATATTCACAAGGGAGTGGTCGCGTATGACCCATACTTTGAGTGAAAAGTGGATGCCCTAGGCAAGCTTGGTTTCTCTTCATACCAGAAATGCACTGCGACTATGCGCATACTTGCATATGGAATTCCTGGTGATCTTGCGGATGAGTATGTTCATATGAGTGAGTCCACATGTTGAAAGAACATGCGGTGCCCCCATGTTTGGTTTTGGCAATTGATGACAATCTCTATGGACTAATGGTTGCCTTGAGTTATATTTGAAGGGTTTGTCCATAGGCTTTTCTTGAAGTCCATTTGTTGGTTTCAAGGAGAGTTTGTGATGACCAAGGTGCTATTAAGGAATTATCCAAAGATTGGCCATATGAGTGTTGTGCTTATAGCAAGCATGTCTTGAAGAAAAAGAGTGTGTGATCATTCATGTTTACCTTCAAGACATCATCCAAATGAAGAGAGTTGGAAAGATTCAAGGTTGATCCAGACTAAGTCAAAGAGTGAATCAAGTTGATCAACACACAAAGCATAGAAGATGTATCGAGAGGGATCAAGCGATCCCATGGTATGGTAAGCATTGTCAATTATACTTTGTGTACTAACCCATGATCTTCGTGAGAGTTCTTTGTGTGGTTAGGTTGCGGTGTGCAAGTTCAAGTAGGATCATCACGAAGAGATCATATGCTTGAAGCTTGCCGTCCATTGTGGCGACAATGGACTTGTGAAGATGCGCAGAAGAGTGGCTCACCCATAGTGGAGTATGGGGGAGCAATCTACTAGTCTTCATCGAGCCAACGCAATCAAGAAAGGTGGTCCATCTTGAGGAGGAGAAGATCGTCATCATCTAGCTCAAGTGGATCATGTGCAAGGCAAATATTTGCCCTTGATAGGTTTTCTATTTTACCGGTCTCACGGTAGTTGTGGGAGATCGGGTTATAGGATCGATTGTTGTACTATCAAGGGGGGCTCTCGATGAGTTGCTTGATCGTATCGTTCGTAGAGAGCTCAAACCATTGCATCCTTGCATCATCTTTATTGGTTCTTGTTTGGTTCTTCTCCTTGTGAGATTTGGAACTCTTGGTCTTTTTTATGACAAGCTCGAGTTCATCGAAAACGGAGTTCACTTGCATCTTCTATGATGTTTTTGATGTTGGAGGGTATGCCGGTTCTTCTCTGTTGGAGGGTATGCCGGTTCTTCTCTGTTGGAGGTTTCACTCCTTTGTTTGTTGACGGGCGACGACGATGCTGGATGGCGCCTTGCGTGACCGAACAGTCGGCCTGAAGAGGTTGGTGACGACGAGCAACGACGACGGCCGTAGTTTGTCTCCCACCGGCAACACAGAGAACGCCGGCCAAATGCTTTCCGGCAAGCCGGCGCAGAGACAGCTATGGCACGGCGCGATGGTGGTTGGGACGTCCCTGGTGAAAGACGGCGCGACCAGGGGGTGGTGGTGGCGGCAGCGATGACGGGGACGCGGAGAGAGGTAGAGGAAGAGAAAAGGGGGTCTGTCTCACCGACGGGCGGGCCAGGGCAGAACAAGGGTCTGTATTTCACCCTTTTGCTACCGAGCTGTCACGTAAGGGAGTGAACTTTTTGCCAGGCCGAAGTGAAGTGAAGTGACTTTGACCGGCAGATGTCTTAATAAGCTGCCACCGGTGAGCAGCGTTGAACCGTTTCCAGCTGGTTCCAGCGGCACGGATCTCGAGACCGATCCAACGGTGAACAGTGAAAGCACAGAAGCCCAAGAGGCGAACCTTGCCAGCCGTGACCGGTGACACGACCGCCTGGCACTACACGTGTAGGCCCCCTGAGAGCTGAGACGGATTCACCGAGGGGAGGGGAGCCCCAAGCCGTGGCACAACACAGGCAAGTGCCCTTTTTACCCCACCACACTACCACTTGTGACCTCCAAAGAAGTGAAACCACAACGCACCAGCGAGCGCTTCGGTGGAGAGAGGAAGAGCTTTCGCTTCCACGACGTCCTCGAGGTCAGTCGGCTCCCGGCAATCTTTCTTGCGATTTTATTTTCTGGCGCTCTTGAGTAGTAGTAGTAATTTTTGGTTTTGGATGATCGTATCTGTGGAGAAATGGCCTTCTTTTCTGGGTTCCTCAACGTTCCTCTTCTTGAACTTTGTTTCTTCTTTCTGTCGATACCGGCATTTTTGGTTCATATGTGAGGAGGAGAGGGACATGGAACGTAGCATGCTGAAATAGATGTGTTTTCTGTCGGTTTAAAACAACCCCAATCTGTACTACATTCATATGGTATGGATACTTCGACACAAAGTAACACAATAGTGAGCAGAGCAGCATATGTGTTTTCCTCTGTTTCTTTTGTTTCAATAGAAAGAAGATTCCTCTGTTTCTGCTTGCTGCATTTCACAAGACCCTGTTCTTTCAGCTCAATGGTTTATATCATTACTTGAATCTACAGATTTATTCTCTTTAAAAAAAAAAAGCACTGACCTCCCTTTCTTAAAAAGATTACAGTGTGAAAAAGATCACACTTCTTTTATTAAGTGTAAAAGAGATCTCAACCAAATCCTACTCGTCAGTCAATATGCCATTTTTACACTGCCACCATCGCATAAAGATTCATATTAATTCCACCCAGCCAACAAGCTAGTGATCAAAATATGAATCTTTTCTGTTTCCGCGTTGCTGCATTTCACTTCACAAGATAATACAGTTTTGTCCTGTTTTGAAGCTGATACAATGTTCTGAACTTACATATTTACATGGATGCTATTCTTCGTTGATCATATATATTTGATCTTCCATATACATCAGCTAGCATCTAGTATTAACTCTACCCTGTTTTTTTCTACTGCCAGGAGTTCACCATGGGGAGCTTGATAGACGAAGCAGGAACTGAGGAGCAGCCCTTGGACCCGAAGCCATTGCACTCACTAGCGCCGATGTTCCCTACCCCTCCTGGGTATGATCTAGCAACTGCTGGATCATCCGACCCACCATTCTTCTACTACATCACACCAATACGACAACACCCTGGGCCGGCTCCAGCTTCATTTGCTGGGCCGCCGCCAGGGCCCTGCTCCTCACCGCAACAACACCCTGGGCCGGCTCCAGCTTCATTTGCTGGGCCGCCACCGCAACAACACCCTGGGCCAGCTCCAGCTTCATTTGCTGGGCCGTCACCAGGACCAGGGTCCGCAGTTCCTCTGAAGGCCACGCCAATCTCGGCAGCATTTCCCGCGCGGCGACTCAAAGAGGAACTGTCGGATGAAGACTACACTCCTGCTTCCGAGAAGAGGAAACCATCTTCATCTTCACCCAAGAGCACAGCCAAGAGGGTTCGGCAGGCCGGAGACTCCACTGCAGCCAACACCAAGCAGAGACCGATCAGGAGGAGCCTCAGCAAGGAGCTCGCCGGCTGGCCCTCCGCATCGGACAACCCAAGGGAGGCAGTGGAAGCGACCATGGCCATGTTCGACTCGCTCCGGCGCCGGACGCTGCAGCTGGATGAGAAGGAGGGCTTGGGCAGGCGCGCCGACCTCAAGGCCAGTGTTCTCATGAACCATAACAACCTGAAGATCAACAGCCTCAAGACGATAGGCCCCGTCCCGGGCGTCGAAATCGGAGACATCTTCTTCTACAGGATTGAGATGTGCATCGTGGGGTTGCATGCGCCATCCATGGCCGGCATCGACTACCTGTCGGCTAAGCTTGTTGCCGGGAGGGACGAGAGCCTGGCCGTGAGCATCATCTCGTCCGGCGGATACGAGAACGTTGAAGATGAGACCGACACCCTGGTGTACACGGGCCAAGGAGGCAACAGCCGGCGCAAGGACAAGGAGAAGCACGACCAGAAGCTGGAGAAAGGAAACCTTGCTCTCAGCAACAGCGCCAGCAAGAAGAACCAGATCAGGGTGGTGCGCAGTGCACGGGACCCTTTCTCTATCACAGCAGGCAAGGTTTACATCTACGATGGAGTGTATCGCATCGAGGACTCCTGGATGGACACGGCCAAGAACGGGTTCAGTGTGTTCAAGTACAGGCTGAGGAGGGAGCCAGGGCAACCTCATGGAATTTCAGTCTGGAAGATGACAGAAAAGTGGAAGGCAAACCGTGCCACAAGAGAAAATGCCATGGTGCTGGATCTATCATCAGGGGCTGAGATCCTGCCTGTGTGCCTTGTCAACGAAGTCGACGGCGAAACGGGGCCGAGCCACTTCAAGTATGTCACCGGAGTGAAGCACTCGAGACCTCTTGGTAGGAACAAGCCATTGCACCACTGTGAGTGTACTAGTGTGTGCATGCCAGGTGACCCCAATTGTTCGTGCGCGCGACAGAATGGCGGCGATCTTCCCTACAACTTGGACGGGGTGCTCGCGAGGCATGTTCCGATGCTTTACGAGTGCTCTCGTGACTGCCATTGCACCAAGGACTGTCGGAACAGGGTTGCACAGAGAGGTGTTCAGCTCAACTTTGAGGTGTTCCGGACCGGAGACCGTGGATGGGGTCTCCGATCATGGGACCCGATCCGTGCCGGCGCATTCGTTTGCGAGTATGCTGGTCAAGTCATGGACGAAACCAACATGAGCATGGATGTCGAGGAGGACGAGTACACCTTTCGCACAACATGTCCAAGTGACAAGGCTCTAAGATGGAACCTGGGTGCAGAGTTGCTCGAGGAAAAAGGTGCAGATGCCACAGCTGAGAGGTTTAAGAAGCTTCCTGTCGTGATAAGTGCAAAAGATGCAGGCAACGTTGCTCGTTTCGTCAACCATAGCTGCTCCCCGAATCTACTCTGGCAGGCTGTGCAATATGACCATACCGATGACAGTTATCCGCATATCATGTTCTTCGCTATGAAACATATCCCTCCTATGACTGAGCTGACATATGATTATGGCATTAGAGGGGCTCCTCCGGGCCTCAAGGGGAAATCTCCCCTGGCTTGCAAGCTCAAGCCATGCTTATGTGGATCTGCAAACTGTCGAGGTTCTTTCTGACACAAAATATGCTGGGCATAAACAAGGTACAGAAAAATGTCATTATCTCTGTTCCTTCTAGGTTTTCCGGTCATGTTTAACAAGTATTGTACTCCCTCCGTTCCAAAATAGATGACTCAACTTTGTACTAGTGTCTTGTCACACGGTATGTATTGTCATTACTCATCACTTGATGTTGATGGATTTTTATTAGTCATGTCTTTGCTAGAGAAGAACGTATCCTACAGACTACTACTCCATACTAGACAGCGTAACTATATGTCTCCAATCTGTGCCTTGGCCGCCAAATTGATGCTGATATTGTTCTCCTTTTCAGGTTATTACGCTGTTGTATGGTAGGAGTACATGGTGGCTGGGCGGTCCCGCGGAGTAGCCAGCGTCTCTGTATTTTGGACAAGGGAGCAGAGTAGGCAGCCGTCCTCTCTAGTATTATGTATGCCGGTGTGGTGGCCAAGAGTGTGTCTGTCTGATGGCTTTTGTGATGCAAAATCGTGTGTAGTACATGTTGCATACGCAGGCGTGTCATGTGCAAATCATGCAGCAGCTGTCATCTACTCCCTCCGTTCGGAATTAGATGTCGCGACTGCTGTACATTATGCATTTTGCAAACATGTCCTTATACTTTTGAATCATTTGAAAAAACGCCCCCGTCTCCTTCCTCACTACTCCACCGTCGCTCACGCGTCGCCGGCTCCGGCCACTATCCCCCGTCTTCCTCCCCCGTTCTCCTCAGCACCCAGAGAGAGTCTCCGCGCGTCGCAGGACCCAGGACCCAGCCGCCTGTGCAGGAGACGACCTGCGTCGTCGCGGAGGAGACGCGCAGGACCTTCACGGAGGCGCCTTGCGCCGCCGCCCAGCTGCGTAGCCGCCATGGGTGTGCCCTCGCCTACCTGAGCAGCGGGATTGCTCCTAAAGTTCTTCCTCTTCGTCACCTCCCTCTGAATCGTGCCAAGAAGCAGTAAATCGACGACTAGGTCCTCGATTTGGTCCGCCTTGGCCGCCGTCGCCGCGGACAATTTTGGACGCCGTCGCGGCGCTGGGTCTTCGTCGCTGCTCTGGCCCAGGGTCTTCATCGCCGCATTGGCCCTGCTCAACCTCTCCTCCAAGCCCAGGGTCTTCCTCTCCGTGCTGGCCCTCCTCCGAAGGTCGCGCCCGCCCTCGCCTCTGTTGGTGCTGGTATTCCCCGCCCCCGCCTCTGTTGTTGCTGCTGCTGAATTAAAGAGAACTTGATTGTAAAGCTGAATACTGAATTAAAGATCATGAATACTGAATACTTGAAAGAGTAGAAGCAAAACTGGAGTACTGAAAGTAGTTTGGTTCTGGAGTACTTGATGTTCTGTACTGAATACTGAATTAAAGAGAACTTAATTGCTGCTGGTATTCCTCTCCCTGTTTGATTGTAAAGCAAAACTGGATTAAACAGAACTTGAATACTGAGTGTTGCTGGTAACACAGTTACACTGAATACCCAATGAAGCTCAATACTGAATGCTGGAGTAGTTGCTGCTGCTGGTATTCACATGCACTTCAAGAAATTATTCAGTACAGAACAGTTTTATTCAGTACAGAACAGTTTTGTTCAGTATAGAATTTGGGAGTAGATGCAGATATGTTGTGAATGCAAAATAAGTGGAACATTTGGTGCCACTGTTCCTAGTCCACTACAATTCCTAGCATTTTGCTTCCAATGTGCAGATATGTTCTGAATGCAAAATAAGTGGAACATTTGATGCTCCTGATCGATGCTCTTGATTTGCTAGGAACAGTTTTGTTCGGTGGAACATTTTGCTTCCAATGATGCAGATATGTCCTGAATGCCAAATGTCATTCCACTGTTCCACTTATCTAGGAATTGTAAAAGAAACAAAGCTTTTACATGTGTGAGAAACTTATTCCTGCGATCCAAGAGCGCTGGCCGGACGAAGATGAAGGACGGACAATCTATATCTGAGGCTGGGGTCCAATGCAATGCTCTTGCATTGTTAGGAAAATTTGCTCTCTGCTTGCTTGATCCTGGCTGATTGTCACCCTGTCAGTCACAGACACCAACCAGTGGAACGGCCGAGTGCTGCTGCTGTACTAAGCATGCAGCAACTGAAGCAAAGCGGTTGGTTGCTGGAGGATCCCACAAGGCAGATCTCAGTCAGTCAGATCAGTGCAGCAAAAGTAGGAGCTGGGCAAAGGTTAGCATTGACCCAGGAATTCACGGGGGTTCAGTACTTCAGTTACCACCACCACCACATGGGCAGCAATTAGCAAAGCTTAACAGCAAGGCTAAAAATAATCAAGAACCTAGGCAAACGTATTCTTTCTTTCTTTCTTTTTTCCTAATCATAATCAAGAACCTGAATGCTGAGATCGATGGTTTCATTCAGAACATTGCCAGTTTGAAGACAGGAACATCAAAATCCAGAGTATCTCTTATGGTGCCACAAGATAAAAATTCAGAGTTCAAATAAAAATTCAGAATTCAGAGTATACCTTGACAGAGCAGGGGCATACACTGCTGCTTGCGGCTGAGGAAGAGGCCGAGCCACTTGAGTCGCATATCGACGTCCTCCTTGGTGAGCTTGTCGGCGTCGATCTACTCCATGGGCAGCTTGGTGAGCTGAGGCTGGTGTGGTACTTCTCCTTGAGCACCCAGTACCCGCCCTCCCGCTGCAGTGCTGCTCCACCCGCGGCTCCAGCTGGACGGCCGAGGCCGACGGCGAGGCGGCCGCCACCGACGGGGCGGAAACGCCATGGCCGCTGCTTGTGGGAAGGTTGCTGCCGGCATCGTGTTGGTAGTGGTCTGGATCTGGCGCCTTCGGCCTCGCATCGACGGAATCCTTCGCCGGCTTGAACTCAAAGGTCCAACCTTTTTGCAAGTTCGCCGCGGGAAGGAGGAGAGGAGCGCGGCGAGGCCACCGAAGGTAGGGGAG